GTCTGTGTGCGCCGTGTCACCCCGAGCGCTCTGCCCTCGCGCGGAGGAGGCGCTCGTTCGCTGCGCCCCCGCCCCCCCGGTTCCGTCCTGATTCCGCAGCCTGCGCTTTCGTTTCCCCTGAACTTCGGGGAAGAGGGGGAGCTGCCCGTGCAGCGGGATCGGCGGCGGGCTGGGGCGGTGTGGGAGATCCGCGCGTCCGGCGGCCGGGCCTCCTTCTCCTCGTCCCTTTCCTCGCGGGGCAGCGCCTGTCCCGAGCAGGAACAATGGCGAGAGCTGCGGCCGAGCGCGCCGTGGGGTGAGCGGGCGCAGCTGCTCCGGGGAAGGGCGAGGAGGCCCCTCCCAGGCGCTGCTCCGCCGGGAGGAGCGGCAGCTGGCTGGGATCCCTTTTCCTCTGGGGGATGGACGGGCGGAGGAAGGTACTGGCAGATCAGGAGCGGCTGGCTCGCGTTCAGTGCGGCTGGTCTTCTCTCCTTTGGCTTCGGTTTTAAGCGATGTCGCCCCTCGCTGCTGAGCCCTCTGGGGTTGAGGCTGGCCGGGGCCCGATGACAGGATGGGGGGGTGCGGAGGACGGGGGAGCTGCCGGGCGTCTCCTGCGTGTGTTCCTAACCTTGGCGATGCTACAACAAAACGACTGCCTCCAGCCTCTACTCTTGGCCTTCGACTCGTTCTGAGATGCAGTATTGGGTAGTTCAGCTCGAAGATGGTTAGAATTTTTCAATCCTTAGGATATCTGAAAGCAGTACTCCTTTGAACGTGCGCCTGGTGGAGAATTAACTCAGTAAGGAAGTGGGAGGTTCGTGTGGGCACCGAGGGTGAGAGAACGTTAGGACAGTCTTTGAAGGCAGTTAGCGATGAGGGTCTGTTTTAGTGAACACAGACACTAGTATTCTGCAGTTTCCAGTCAAAATGTATTCATTACCTTTTTTCAATTTTTGCCTTGAGTTTGTATGTTTAATTAAAAATAAAGCTTAAGTGCAAGTATGAGTGTGAAGCCAGGCATGGTTGTGCACGCCTGTAATCCCAGCACTTGGGAGGATGGAGGCCAGCCTGGGCTACACAGTGAGCCAGTCCGAGGCCAGCCTGAGTTACACAGTGAGAGTCTGTCTCAGAAAAACAAAGATGTGCGTGTGGGAGTAACTGCGTATAAACCCCGTGGTAGTCTGTGTTTCTGTCGTGCTGGGGATTGAACCCAGGCCTCAAGCGTGCTAGCCCAGTGCTTTGCCACTGAGGCGCATTACCCTAAACTGCTTTTTCTCTGTCAGGTGAGGAAGATGAGTCTTAAAAGTGGAACCTGTAATAGAGTTCAAGTCTGGCTCTAAAATAAGCCTTTTCTCCCATCTTGAATGGTCCTGTGCTTTAAAAAGTTTGACAATTTCATTTAGAAGAATGAGAGTTATGTTTCACCTCCATGTAGGGATATTAGTAATTTTATTTTGTTACAAGTCTTATTTTTTCTTTTCACTTTACAAAGTGGTTTATTTAATATTTTCAAATTATTCTGTTGATTAAATTCAGAAAAAGGTTCATGGTTTAAAAACTAGGTTTGGACAGAAAGATCTGATCTTAATCCGTTTTGTGTATGAAAAAAGATTTTAAAATGCCTCTGTCATGTTTGAGTTTAAGGTCAGTTTTTGCAAAATCAGACAGTCCAGCATTCATGAGCTTTTTTCCAAGTTGATTTTTCCCAGAAATAATTGCCTTCCTATTTATTCAGTTAAATCTTTACTATGGTTGAAATAATAACAACTTTTGGAAAGCACATTTATTTTTGCAGGGCTATTTTGGTCTTTAATGGAATTCCAGCAGGAATTTTGTAAACTGGACTAGCTTGATGGTTTTGTCGTTTCTGTTTGTGTAGAGGAGAGACTTAAGATGAGCCAAAGGGTACAGGGTGCATAAAGGATTTAGCAATGAAGTTAGTCTTGATTTTAAGCCTTTTGAGGCCTTATTGTAGTAATACAAAAGACCACATCCCCCACATTTTTAATCACTTACAGCTTTATAATAGTGTGTGAGCACAGATTTGTACATTAATGGAAAATATATTTGTACCAACTTTTTTTGTTTTTTAAAATGAGCTATAATCTCCCTATGTTATCCAGACTGATCTCAAACTTCTGGGCCCAAGTGATCCTCCTGCCTCAGCCTCCAGAATAGCTGGCACTACAAATGCAGGCAGTTGTGCCCTGTGGGCTCTCTCCTCCCCCCTCCCCTCCCCTCCTCTTCCCCCTCCCCTCCCGTTCTCTTTCTTAATGAGTGGCACTTGACAGTATAAAAATTATTGCTTTTTAAATTTATTTATTTATTTATTTATTGGTACTGAGAAGTGAACTCAGGACCTTGAACTTGCCAGGCAGGCACAGTGCCACTGAGCTGTCTCCCTGGCCCTGCTTTTTTTTTTAAATTGTTTGTGGCATTTGAGTATCAAAATGAATATATGTGTAAGAACAGCATATCTATTACTAATTTAGGAGTTGGACAATAGTTAGGTTATTCAGTTTAGGCTATATGATACCCTTTTTGTAATAGTACAGATGATGAAATAAGTTACTAATGCTGCCTTCCATGTGAACATTTGTGTAGTGTCCTGTAGATAAATGCAATTGTGTGATAAAAGGGGATCTTCTTTCACAATTTGTAATGTTTGGTTTTGTAACTTTTTAGAGAAAAGATACAAATTTGGTCTAATGACTGGGATAGAAAGTAATATTAGGATGATCCTGATGATACTGTTTTAATCTTGGGAGCAGCTGTACCATTTATACAGTTGGCTTAAATGGGTTGTTACCTTCATTGTATTTCATCCATACCAGATTTCCTGTCAGGTTAGAAGACAGTCACTTAAGCATCCAGGGAGTTGGGGGCAGGCATGTATTTGGGATGTGTTCTGGGCAGAAATCAGGGTATAGTGATGAGCTGACTGATTGTTCTTGAAGAATAATCTTGTGATTTTTCCTCCCTATTAGGAAGTATTTGATGATGCATCACCTGGAAAGCAAAAGGAAATCCAAGAACCAGATCCCACCTATGAAGAAAAAATGGTATGTTTAGACAGTGAAGACAGTCTGTAGTCTGTAGTGAAGCTTTCTGTTAGGTGATTTTGTTTAACTTTTACAATTAGAGCAGGCCTGGTGTGGTGGCACGTCTGTCATCCCAGCACTCGGTAGGCTCAGGCGGAGGATTACTGAGTTTGAGGCCAGCCTGGGCTACACATACAGTGAGTTCAAGGCCAGCCTGCTCTACAGTGAGACCCTGTCTTAAAAAGACAAAAAAATTTAGAGCAGGTATGTTTGAAATGTGCCTAATATAGGATACTATAATTGCTGTGTCTTATTTACCTATGTATACCAAATAGAAGTATTCTATGAAGCCACATAATACGACATAATGATCTAATTCTATTGGCACTTTTAAGATTTTAGTATCCAGTAAGGTGAAAAGCAGAGTAGGTGTCTGTGTGTGTGTATTCACAATGCTCCGTTCTCCGTGCTCACGGTGTTCTCATGCTGTGGAACAGGGACAGGGCAGTCTTCCTAACCTCCCTGGGTTTAGCTCCCATCCATATTCACACGTATATTGAAAGGCACTTCTTGTCCTTTGACTTTCTGTCAGAGTCATCAAATACTTACAATCTTAAATAGGTTCAGAATCCTAACATGATATGTACATGTGATCGTGTATATATACAAATTGTAGATCATGTTTGAGATATTGTTTTATATTTTGTATAAGTAAATGCTTATTTTGCTGTCAATCTGTTTAAAGAGAATATATTTGCAGGTCCACTTTTTAAAATTAATATTGCTTTAAAGTAAATGCACTTCTTTTTTTTCCCCCTCCTATATACTGGGACGTGAACCCAGCGCCTTTACACTGAGTTGTGTCCACTGAGTTGTATCCACGGCTCTTTTTATTTTCAGGCAGTGTATCACTGGCTGGGCCAGGTTGGGCAGAACTTGCCATCCTCCTGCCTCAGCCTTCTGAGTGCTGGGATTACACGCATGTTCCACCACAGTAAGGCACATTAAGGCAATATTAACTGCTCAGCGGTGTCATTCAGCTATTCCAAAACTTGACCACTCTGACCAATCTTTTTATTCCATTTCTGCCACACCCTTGTTTTCTGTCTTCTGCCATACAAAATTGCAAGCCTATCTCTCTGTAGCTTCTGCCGTCCTGTGTCACTTCTTTCTGTCTCAGAGAAGTTAGTTCAAGGTTATTCATTACCATTTCCATTGGATTTTAGATTGATTTCTTAAAGTCTGTTAGTTTTTTCTCCTTTCACCACTTTGCGTTGGTCTTTTAGTACCCCAGGCCATTTGCATCTAACCCTCACTACCTCAAGCAACAGAGTGCCTGTTCTTTACCCCGATAATGGCAACAGCTATGGTTTAAAATTTTGGATGCTCTAGAAAAGCTTTTACGTGAATGTCTTGGTCTTAGAACATAGTTATGATAGAGTAGTCTCTTTTCCCAGCCCTAACATGTAGTTACATGAAGGCTTCTATTATTTACAATTTTGGATTAAATATACCATTACACGTAATATATCTCAGTTCAGTACTTTTAAAATGTTTCTAATTTTTGAAAAACAAAAGCCGTGGCTTGTCATCTGTAGGGCAGTATGAGGGAGGAGAGTGTAGACAGCTTGTTGTGCGGAACTGTCTCCTTACTTACTAAAGGGGGGAGGGGAGAAGCATAGGCCCTTTGCACTGAGCTACATCCTCATTCCCTTGTTGTAAAATTTTGAAACAGTCTTGCTAAAGTGCTCAGACCGGGGCTCTCACTTGAGATTTTCCTGCCTCAGACTCCCAGAGTGCTGGGACTATAAGCATGTGCCTCCTTGCTTGGCTAGACTTATAACTGTCCTTGTGACACGCTGAAACACTATTGGGCTTCAGTTTTTACAGTAGTATGATTTTTTTTTTTTTTAAGCACTATTTTTCTTTAAAAATATATAGCTCTAGTAGAGCCAGGTGTGGGGGTGCATGCCTGTAATCCCAGCACTCAGAAGGCTGAGGCGGGAGTATCACCATGAGTTCAAGGCCAGCCTGAGGTACTTAGTGGGACCCTGTCTTTTTTTTTTTCTTTTTTTTTTGTTTTTCTCCGGTACCGGGAACCGAACTTACGACCTTGCGCTTGCCAGGCAGGCTCTTTGCCACTGAGCTAAATCCCCAGCCCCTGAGACCCTGTCTTAAAAAACCAAAATAAATAAATGAATAAATGAATTTAAATTTACACACAGACACACACACAGACACACACACACACACACGGTTCTTATATAATCTCTAGTGTTGACTTTGTTAGGTAAAATGTCTTTTTGTAATTATCTAAAACTGATCTTTTAAACATATTGGCAACGGTATTCACTGGTTTCTCTGTTTTTTGTCTTACTTCGTCTGTGTAACCTAGCTATCGTTGCTTCTGTAAAAGTCTGTTGTCTGTAGGCTCTAGATTTCATTACTTTTTGGAAACTTGTCTTCAGGAATCATTTTTTGAGATTCTTCCATTGTCTTGGCGCGGGGTATTTTTTTGTTTTGTTTTGTTTTTGGTACCGGGAATCGAACTCAGGACCTTGTGCTTTCCAGGCAGGTGCTTGTGCCACTGAGCTATGTCCCTGGCTTTCTTGGTGGGATAATAGGAAAAATTCACACCATTGTTTAGGGGGCAGATGACAGATAAGAAGGGGAGGAATAGTATTAAATTACATTGGGCTATTGAATATTTCATGAATTTGAAAATGTTCTTTAACCCTGATACTTTTTAAAATTTGGTCTCAGTGGGGCATGGTGATGTGTACCTGTAATGTAGCACTCAAGAGGCTGAAGCAGGAGGATTGTCTTTGGTTCCAGGCCAACCTGGGCTATATAAACAAGTTCAAGGTCGTAGTGAGACCCTGCTTCCAAAATAATGATATCAGTCTGACAAATGACCAATGCATTTTTTCCTTTGTTTCTGAATAAATTCACTTTAATTGCATACTTTCTTTTAAAAATTCTTTTGTTAGTTATATTGTAGAAAATTGACATCTTAAGTTTGGAATTTATTGAGTTTAGTGAATCTATGCAGTCTTTTTAACAGCACTATAGTAGTTTCTGCTCTTGCCCTTTGGTATCCTCTGTGGCCCCACCTCCTTCCCACCTGCGATTGGTTTTCGCCTGGCGTCTCATATGTGGTACTGTAAAGGGGTCACACACTGTAGACTCCTGTTCTGCGTCTGACTTGGCAGAGTGCCTTTGGTACTCCTCCATTCTGTTAGGTGTCAGTGTTGTGTTCCTTTTTACTGCTGCGTTCAGGCGTGTTGAAACGGATTTCTGAAGTTTTGATGAAATGTTTTAAACTTCTTGCAGCAAACTGACCGAGCAAATAGATTTGAGTATTTACTGAAGCAGACGGAGCTGTTTGCACATTTCATTCAGCCTGCCGCTCAGAAGACGCCGACGTCCCCTCTGAAGATGAAGCCCGGGCGCCCGCGGGTAAAGAAGGACGAGAAGCAGAACCTGCTCTCGGTCGGCGAGTGAGTAGTACTTCAACTTGATGGTCTTCATGAGAAACAAAATCACTTGGTTTTTTAAAAATTGCAGTTATTTCTTTGTTCTCAGTTGGTCTGGGAGGGTGTAGCTGTAAGTGGATAAATAATTAAATATTGTGTGTGATGCTATAAAGTATCAAGGGGTATGCCATCCTTGGGTGATTTTTGAAAGTAACTTACTCATGTTAAATTTATAAATTCTTTTTTTAAAATTTATAATTCTTAAGAATTTTCATGCTGGCTGGATGATAAAGGCATTTAATTACTAGATAGAGGGCAGTTTCAGCTCCCCAGAATGGCTATAATTCCCAGTGTGAAAATGCAATCAGTAATGCACAAGATTGCCTAAAATATGAAATTGTAAACTGACCAGTGTTAAATTCACTGCAAGGTCTCAAGGGCATGACCAGTTGTTTTCTAAATTAGATCAAAGTATTTGTTGCATGTACAAAGTTGGAAGCTTCAGAGGTAGGGAATAAGTGGTTTTACGCATCTGAGCCCTCAGGATGTATCAAGCCCTCAAGTAAGGGGATGTATCTGAATATTTTGGGATGTAGAATCTTTCGGGATGTAGTAAATATGTATGTATGTATGTATTTATTGGCACTGAGGGTTAAACCCAGCACCGTCACTAAGCTAACTCCCTGACTCCGGTTTTTGCTGTTTATCTTTGAGAATGGATCTAAGTTGCCCTGGGTGGGCTTTAACTTGTGCTCATTCTGTCTCATCTTTCCAGAGTGCAGGGCTTTATCAAGTTGTAGTTAACATAGATATTACTGTATTTTCATAACAATTTTATGTATCCTGTAGGTTATCCATGTAAAATACTTCAGATTTAAATGTACTAGTGATTTCTGATACTTACCTTTTGGGTAAATGTATATGCCTATTAGAAAAATTATTCTAGAGTCTTAGCCATCAAACTGTTATGTTGAAATAGCAGCTAGTAGGGGTTTTTTTTTTTATTATTTAATTTTTTGGTACTGGGAATCAAACTCAGGATCTTGTGCTTGCCAGGCAGGCTCTGTGCCACTGAGCTATATCCCTGGCCTCTTGTTTTTATTTTTTTGAGGCAGGGTCTTGCTGTCTAGTTCAGCCAGGCTTTAAACTCACTATGTAGCCAAGGCTGGCCTTGAACTCAGGGCAATCCTCCTGCCTCAGCCTCCTGAGTGCTGGGATTATAGGTGTGTGTCACCATGTCCCGCCAGCTGGTAGTTTTAAACTTGACCCTAAAACTCAAATCAGTTAATTTTCATTTTGACAGTTACCGACACCGTAGAACAGAGCAAGAGGAGGATGAAGAACTATTAACAGAAAGCTCCAAAGCAACCAATATTTGCACTCGATTTGAAGACTCTCCATCGTGTATGTTAAACATACGTAATTACTTGATTTTTCAAAAATCCCCATTGAAACATCCATTGTTAGAGTTCTGGACTTATTTTAGCTACAGTTTATAGGGGAATTTTTAGTAATCTTAGATATTTGTTGGTTATGAATAAATTTCAGACTTATTTTGGATAGCAGTGATACTGTTATATGATTGGGGTGCTACATTTCAAAGGTATATAAAATGCCAAGGGGTTTATTAGTAGTGCATTAAAACTGGGAATAGTTTTGCCTTATACTGTATTTCTGCCAGATAAGGCAGCTGATGTTTAAAAACGAAACAAAACTTAAGAAAAATATTGCTTATCTGATGTTTTGTGTATCTTAATTTTTTATGAAATTAGTGATTTTCCAAAAGCGTATTTAGTGGAGTTGAAGTTTCACTTACGTATTATTTTGTGTGATGGGCATGGAAATTTCCCCAAACCTCCTTTTGTCATTGGATGGCTGGTTTGTGAGAACACTTGGCCAATTGAACTGCAGCTGGACTTAACTGTGCTTAGGAATTTGGCTGTTGGTTTAAGGTGTACACTTTCGGGCCCCCTCCCCTGCCAGTGCCCAGTTTCCATCTCTCAGATGAGGCTGGAGTCCAGAATCAAATACATGGGATACGGCAAAGGAAGTTTCGGTTACTTTTCGTATTCCTACAGTGTAACTGGTTTCCCCAGCACTGTTTGGCTTTTCATCCTTACGCAGTGATTTGTGGGGATAGGGGGATGAGTACTATGTATACCCTGAAAGAGTTGTTGTCTCTCTCTAATTATGAAAGACAAATAGAGAAAAAGGACTTTGCTATTTACATCCCTATTTTTAGCAGGTGGAATTCCCTCCAGTGAATCTCTGTCTCATCCTGTGTGAGAGATGGAAGCTCTAGGTTGGAAACACTGGCGGCGGCATGAACACTAGAAGCCAGTGGGGTTCGAGGACCAGCCAGTGTGTAGCAGGAGCTGAGTGTTTGGGTTGAGGTGTTTCGCCAGACTTGGTGCAGCGGCTTACCTTCCGTAGCTGCTCCTGCTCCATTCCAGACATTAACGGCTGCCTTGGGGACTTGAACTTTCAGAATTCCCACCACAAAAGAGTTTCCTGGGAAGGAAAGAAAGATCAGTAAGCACATGTAGGCCCCACCAGATCTCTTGAGCAGCACATGAAGGGGAGTGCCTTTTCTTGTCTTCAAAATGTGCGCTGTGTGTTTTCTTTTGCTCTTAGATGTGAAATGGGGTAAACATAGATTGTCAGGTCTGAGATTATTAGGTCAGAGCATCATTTCAAGTCTTGCCCTCGAAATGTGCACTGTGTATTTTTTTGTTCTTAGATGTAAAGTGGGGTAAGCTGAGGGATTACCAGGTCCGAGGATTGAACTGGCTCATTTCTTTGTATGAGAACGGCATCAATGGCATCCTGGCAGATGAAATGGTACGTGTTCGGTAGTTTTTTGAAGACCATATTTTGCAATTAAAGATAGTTCATACATTAAACGTATAGAAGTTGAGACAGTATAACATAGTTTCATTGACTGTAAATACAACCTAGAACTGTTACCAATTAATTTTCTTTCTAACTGCTGGAAGCAGTTTGCTTTAGTGATATGGATGGGCTCTTCCCGTAAGGAATTACCATCTGTGAGAGTAGGGTAAATTTCACGATAATATATTTTGAGAAACTTTTAGGTCTTAACCTTTTGCAGTATGGAAGTAGTTTGACCATGTTCCGCAGATGAGATCATTTAATGTTTGTCATCTGTGAATATTGCTGTTCTCCAGGGTGGTAGCGTATGTAGCTCTGCTTCATGAACTTGTTATCTTGTGCTTGCTACTTAGTAGTTATGTAATAAAGGTTTTAAAAGATTTCCTTATCACTATAGAACTAACACGGTTGGTAGGGAAAAAGTATGGAGCCAAAGAAGTGTTTGACTTCTGGATATGGTGGGTAGCTTTGGGAGTGTCACACTCGCTGGGCCTTATTGGATGATAAAATTACGTGACATAATAATTGTTTGATGAGTGATTGTATAAAGCCATGGGCTATGTTCTCATGTTAAATTCTTGCCATGTGTCAGCTATCATAACACGTCACATTTCTTTTAAATTTTTCTGTGTATGTTGGAGGTACAAAGATGGCGCACTGTTTTTGCTTCTAATTGCCTTATGGTTATTTTGAACTCTCTCAGGGCCTGGGAAAGACTCTTCAAACCATTTCTCTTCTTGGGTACATGAAACACTATCGAAACATTCCTGGTCCTCATATGGTTTTGGTTCCTAAGTCTACATTACACAACTGGATGAGTGAATTCAAGAGATGGGTACCAACCCTCAGATCTGTTTGCTTGATAGGAGACAAAGAACAAAGAGTAAGTTGTAGTATTTCATTACATTTTGCCATTAAAGGATTTGAATTCGGGCTTGGGTTTGGGAGTAAGTAAAGGAAAGAAAAGAGAAAAGGTCTATATCAGCAGTAGTGAACCTTTCAGACACGAGTGCCCAGACTGCAGCCCCAAATGCATTTTTCACGAAATGCCGATCCTACAGTTAACCTGAGTACTGAGATTGTAGTTTAGAAAAAAGCAACTCTACCTTGGCATCCTTTGCCTTAACACTCAGGTCATACGTTTGCCATCACTGGTCTGCTCAAGTGTCAGTAATTTACAGATGTCGTTTTGTCTCGGAGGTGTGAGGGACTGTAGAAAGCTGAAAGAGTGGTTTTTCCCTTTGGGTGAGTGATTGTATAAAGCCACGGGCTATGTTCTCGTAAGTATTACTTTGTTTTAAAAGAAACTTGAATGTATGAGGTGTTGGAAATCTAAGGAACCAGATTTTTCTGATTGTTAATGTAGAGGTAATAGTCATGGTGTAGTAGAAGTTGGTGAACTGTTATGCCATTATCAAAATAGGTTAAAATGTTGATTAACTGACAGCATTCCTTTAGGAAGGAGACATGAAAATAATGACACAGTGTCTTAGCTGCTTCTCTTGTTGCTGACACAGAACACCGAAGACCCACAAGTTAAGGGAGGAAGGTTTATTGGCTCACAGTTTGTGGAGGTTTCAGCCCGTTTTTGGCTCCCAGGCAGGGTGGCACATGGCAGAGGGCATTGTGGATGAGCAACAGTTCATGGCAGGCAAAGACAGCAGAAGCAACAAGGGACCTCAGTAGCATCTTTCTGCCGCTTTTCTGTTATCCACACTACTTAGGGCGGGTAACACTCACCCTTAGTCCTAGTACCGATGAGCCTAGCATTGCACCATGACTCAGTCAGGCACCCTAGATCCAGCCACCTCTGTGAAAGCCCCACGTAGGGCCGCATGAGGCTTTTGGGGAACAGCTAGACACAAGCCATAACGCACTGTAAAGAATTATAGACGTTAGATGTGGAAGTTTATTCATACTGTGTTAAATGAGTTTGCACTTTTTTCCTGTGTGCATTAGCACTGAGTCCAAATGTCTCTTCTTCCTTTATAGATGCTTTGAATTCTTTCTTTCTTTCTTTCTTTCTTTCTTTCTTTCTTTCTTTCTTTCTTTCTTTCTTTCTTCCTTCCTTCCTTCCTTCCTTCCTTCCTTCCTTCCTTC